AGGGAGTCACTAGAGTGGAAAGAGTTGTGCTTACCAGGTTAATGCAGATTCTGGTTTGGGGTCAGTGCTGAGCCTAGAGCTATTCAGGAAAAGTCTCAGAGCACATCGAGGCCAGTTATCACCCGCCTGGAGCCTGTGGACTCCAATAGTTTTCCAAGAAAGAGTGCATCGTGGGCGGGGCTGGCTGCTCTCAGAGAAAGTGCTTCTGGGATTGGGGGAGTTGAGTGGGGCGGGGTCCCAGTGAATCAGCAGGGCAGAGTCCTGGAACTCACCAGACCAATCAGATTCAGATTTGGTTGGAAGTGTAGGGGGTGGGCTCAAACATTTAAGATGGTGGCCACCTCCCTGTGTGGGACAAGGACCCCACACAGGGAAAATGGTGACTGTCCTCCAGCCCTGGCCTCGAAGTCATATACCTCAGCCTGCTCCCCATATGCCTCTGATGCCCCCCGAGTCACCATCACTCCTGTGGAGCACAAGGTGAGTGCCTGCGAGCGAGTCTGTACTCATGCTGTTTCTAAGGATGTCTGGGTTTCCCACAGCCTTCAATTTCACTTAGATGGTTGGAATCCCCACTGTTTTTCACAGCTAGATGTTGGGGCTCCTCTTCCCGGCCCCAGTACTCTGGACTAGGGAGCCTGGAGTAGGGGTGGGGTCTTTCGCTCCTCTGGGGGAACCTCCGTGGCCAAGGTATCCCTTCTTGTTTTCAACCACCACACGGAGGTTTGGGACCAGTCCATTTTGGGACCAGCCAGTCTCGACGTGGCTTCTTTTTTATATCCTTAGTTATAAAACTTCGGTTCAGCCAGACTTCAGATGGTTCCCCAGGTTAATTGTTCTATAATTTAGCTGTAATTTTAATGTGTTCATGGAAGGAAGCTGGCATGATGTTTACTCTGCCCTCTTGGATCCCCTGTGACAATGCTGAGGTTTTGGATGTCCAGGGAGTTTTGACATTTGCCGCCTACTGTGACAGATATTCACTTATTCACTGGAGATGTGTGAATGCAATCTTGGTGATCTTGGAGTCTTTTTTTTTGGTTCTACAGGACAAACATGCCCTCGTGCTTGATTCCACACATCCCTGGAAGGAAAACTTCCTTTATTGATTCTGCATGATAAATTGACGCAACCCCAAAAGTGAATGAGAATTGAGGGCTGGCCACAGACATTAGTTTTACTAGGGGGAATTGAGGTTTTTGTTTTGCATTCTAAAAGAGGAAGATAGTAGTCCTCATAAGTGCAGAATTGAGTATTGTGATTCAGAGAAGATCAACTGGAATCCATGAACCTCAGGCAGGCAGGCATGTGGGTTGTTGTTGGTAACAGGACATTAAACAGGACAGAGACATATGAATAGAGAAGAGCCATAATGTGCTGAGTCCAAGTGCTGGAGACTACAGAGCCATCTTCACCTAACCAAAGGGCTATTAGGACCAAGAGAAACTGGGCTTTCTCTGCACAGCCCCAGGGACAGATCTTGGACCCATGGGAGCACGGAACAAGAAGGTAGGCCAGGTAGAATGAGCATTTCCAACGTTGTTCTGCATTATTTACTTCTGCTCTGATAGAAGGGAAACTTTCTCAAATGCATCACCTGCTTCCTGTGCCTGAGAGTGGATGCTCTGAGATTTGACCTTTTTTGCAGGTAACTCAAAGTTACCTGTTAATATTATGCATTTGCCAATGCTCAAAGGTCCTTTGAGGCAAGGGGAATCATTTGTCCACACACATTTAGAAGACACTAAAGTCTCTACTGCAATGCTTTTTTTTTCAACAAAACTTTATTGCTAATAGTTTTCAAATATGTTTACAACAGCACACTATTCAAAAGGAAGTCGCGTCCTTCGCAGCACACAGGTTGATGCAATGCTTTTTTGAGTTCTTGTAAATACTTTAAATAATGTCCCTCCCTGCTATCAGGCTGTCATTTCTCACGGCTGTTATTCTGACTATCTGTAGTATACTTTTTGCTACTTCAGATATATTGCTTCTAACTTGTATGCAGGAAACCATAGTTCCAAAATGATTAGAAGTTCTATGTAAAGTAAGATTTTAAAAACGGGTAAAATAAGTGGGTTCTAAATGAGTGTTCCTGTCAACAAAGTACATGAACCTTAGTGGGTGTTTGCTTTAGGTGACCCTTCTGGGCTCACATGACACCTTGTCACCCTGGCTATTATTAATGATACACTAATCTGTCAGGTCCCCAAAGGTGGGCACCATGACTTCCTCATCTTTGTGTCTACAGTGCCTGCCACGTAGTAGTAACTCAATAAATGTTTACTGAATGAATGAGTGAGCTTGTGGTGGCATCTGCTGTGGCAGCGTGTACACCTTGCTCTGCTTTGCTTGCTTCATTCCTGGTTTGGGGCAACATTCCTCCTAGACAGGCGAGGTTGCTGGGGACAGTCCCATAGAGATGAAGTGAACCTGTTTCTATGTGGAACTCCCCTTAGTCTAATGGAGAGGCACAGTCCCTCCCCTTGAGATAAGCTACTTGGGTTACTTCTGGTTTTGATGCTGACATCTCTCACTCTGTAGAAAAGCTCAGTGTTGCACTTGAAATGTCTGCATGTGAGCCCAAGACAGGAAGGGTGGGGCTGTGTCCTACCGGTTGCTCCTTAACTGCCTCTCTCAGCTCCTTGGTGTATTTAGTTTGCTCCTCTATTCATTTCCTTTTGTAGAGAACGAGGCTTTGTAGGTGCTTCAGTCTCTGTGTCTGGGGTATGTTTGGGTCTCACCAGATTCAGAGCTCCTTAAAGAGAAAGCACCCTGTTTCTTCCATTAATCTGGGAGTTCCCTGAGAGTTCGGTTTATAGCTCTCCCCCTCCGACTGGGGGCTCCTTTGTCTGCTACTCCATAGGATAGGAAGAATTTGGTGGCGGAAGGGCTGAGTGAGTGACTTCCCCTCTTCCCACCTTTACACACAGCCTGCTGGCCCCAAGGTGCTGTGTGGAGAGGACAAGAAGGGACCTGCCCCAGGCCTCCCAAGTTCTTGCCTCAGAGCTAGACCAGGTGTGTAGCTGGGTTTTCTTGGCACCTGACAGCTTTGTACTTGGCTCCAGTACATCCCTGTAGGAGAGGTTGGGCTTCACTTAGTACCTCCCCGTCTTCTTACCAGGCAGATAGGCCGGAAGCAGCAAAAATGAGGCCATCCAGCTGCCTCGCCAGGGCCTGGGAGGCATCTCAGAACACGGGTCCTATGATCCCTGATCCCTGGCAGAGATAAGGATGGGGGTGAAACCAGTTATGCCACCCCTTCCTGCCTGCCCAGTGGACAAGTACAACCCACAGGCCAGGGTGCTGAGGGAAGGGTTTAGGGGTTCCGCAACTGTTGTTCTAGGCGGAGTGCCTCTGAGTCTGTGGAGGCCCCGCTCTGTCCAGTCTCCTACAAAGGGCTGAGCTGGAGCTACAGCTTCTGAAGGCCCCCTCCCACCAAATTCTGACTCAGAGACCCCAACTGGCTGGGCTGAAGGGGTTCTCTCCCTGGGCAGGGGAGCCAATGAAGCATCTCCCCTGCTATCTCTTCAAGCCCCCACTCACCCATGTTCCCTCTTCCTTTTCTCCAGTCCTAACTCCAGAGAGGAAAAGGAATTTGAGCCAGAGGCGGGCCATGGAGATAACTTGTGGAACGTTTATTGTCCAGGGCTCTAGGTCTTCTCCTGATCAGGCCTCCAGGCAAAGCTTCCCTCCCTGGATCCTTTTCCATCCTGAGCTCACCTCTGAGAATTGGGGATAAATGACAGGGTAGCGGAACTGATTCTCTGCAGACCTTAAAGGCTCGGTCTGCTCAGGATGACAGGAAGTCAAATGAGACTCCAGGAATGGACATCAATATAGAAACACGAGGCCCTGCCTGTCCCCCACCCTTCCACCCCCACAGGTCTACACAGTCCATTTCCCAGAACCCAGTGCGATGTGGTCCAGCCTGATTCCAGTAGGGGGTGGGTGAGCAGAGTGGGGCAGACTCTGAGAGTGGCAGGGGAAGGACGAATGGAGGGTTTGATAGGCATGGGCCAGGATTCCAAGACCCAGGCCAGGGTGTGGCTGGGGTGGATGGTCAAAGCTGCAGCCTGAAACTTCCCACGCCCCAGTTCCTTCCTCCATCCCTGAGTACCCCTGGACGTGGGGAGGCCCATGTCTTCTGGCAGAAAAGGATGGGGGGCGGTCCCAGCTTTTTTTAAAGATGAGCCAAGTTGAGGCTTCCTGGATGATATAAGGGAATTCAGCCTTGGAGTGGTGGAGGAGCCTCAGGGATGGAGAGAGCAGTGGTGGAGAGGGGGCTGGAAAGAAGACAGGAAAGTCAGGATGGGTCAGAGGGACCAGGGGAGGTGAGAGATTCCCCTTTGCTACTCCTTGAGTGGCCACCAGTGTGCCCAGGCTCTGCCCCAAGCTGGGTGGAACCCTGGTTCATGGCGCTTCTCTTCAGTTTCTACGGGGCTCCTACAGGCTTCCCCAAAGCAGCTGTGTCCTCCATGGAGGCCATATGGGCAGATCACCCTCCTTGGGGGCAAGGAACAGGATGTGTTGACCCCTTTGGGTCCCTTGACGAGTCTGTTTGGTGATAGGGATATCTCATGTAGCCCCTTGCTTCAGCTAACTTGGTCTCCACGCCTTTACCCCTCACCAGGAATTCTTTTTTTAACTTTGGACACCTCAGTTTCTCCCTACCTCCTGCTCAGACTCCTGATGAGAGAAAAGAAGATTGCCAGGAGGGTAATCGCTCCCTCTCCCTTGCTTCCTATGCCCCCTCCAGCAGGCTGGAGACTGCCAGCTGATGACTGATGCCCAGACATTGCCCACCTCCCTCCAGGGCCCCTCCATTCCCCATCCTTCCAGTTCCGGCATCATTAATTCATAGGCCCTGGCATCCCTAGAAGATAGACTCTAGTGTCAGGAGCTGAGTGTCTAGTGCCAGGTAGGAGGGGAAACAGGAGTTGGCATCCAGCCCAGTAGGAGCACCCACCACCAAAGTGGTGGTGGAGGGGGGGTGGCAAAGGCCCCAACACCCTCCCACTCCTCACTGCCAGGCCACACACATCCAAGAAAATGAGCTTTAAGAGAGAGATCAAGGGCATTCATAAAAGCGACTTTATTGAGCTGTCTTGGGGCGATGGTCTGGGCAGGGGAGACCTCCTAGTCCCTTCCCCGTGTCCAGCTTTCCAGTGAGTGACCCATCCCCATCTCAGGCATAAAGGAGACCGCTTCACCCCAAAGGGAAAGAGTTCAGGAAACCCTTCAGTGTATAAAGGAGAGGCAGAAAGATGGGGAGTCTTTAGGAAAGGAAGCAGAGGGCCCTAAGCCAGGGGTTCCCCAAAAGAGAATGCAGGGAACAGAGCCTGGGGCTAAGAAAGGCAAGAAGTGAGGGAGAGCTTCTCAGTAAAGGTGAGAGAGAAGACAGGAGGAACCCACAGGATCCTTCTCAATCTGGCCACACCCCAACTTTCTGACCTCACCTCCTGCTTGGTCCCGTCATCCCCTCGCCCCTCTTTGCACCCTTTATTCCAGCCCTAAAGTAAGTCTTGCTGCTGCCCAGACATTCCAGATTGTTTTACATCTTCTTGCTTTTGTCCACCACCTTTCAGCTAGGGTCCTCCCTCTTCTGCTCAAAGCCCTTCTTGTTTTTGAAGAGTCAGTTCAAACATTGGTACAGCACAGCGAACCCTTTGAGATCGCCTCAGCCAGGCAGAGGCTCCTTCCATGCGCCCACAGCTGCCTGCTCCTACTTCTGAGTTAGCACACATGTTATCCACTGTCATTCATTCTCTGTTCTGTCGTCTCCTTACCACTGTGGACTCGCGAGCTTTGGTCCTCTGACTCTAGCACAGTCTGGGCCCAGAGTAGACGCCAAAAGTAGACACCAAAAACTCCAGGCACCAAAGATCGTGTTGGTGGAGAGAGATCAGGAGTTTAGGGGAGACAGAGGAGGAAGGAGGATGGAATCTAGGGGATGAGATGGAGCTGCAGAGGAGGCAGAGGGGGTCAGAGGAAAAGAGAGAGCACAGCTGAAGGGGTGGGGGGTGCAGGGCCGGAGGAGTGGACCCTGGTCATCACACCATTGTGCTGAGGGTGGAGGAGTCATCGGAGCACACCGGCAGCACAGAGGCCCGCTTGAGGGGACGTCGGGTCTCATCCCGATTCTGCCACACGTAGTGGATCAGATAAACCACCACCAGTGTCAGCCAGGCCCCCATGGTGACCAGCAAAGCCACATCAGTGCTCCGCCGGGCCCCGCCCCGCCCCGGCCCACACAGCTCTTCCTCCCTTGCCAGTGGCAGGAACTCCTGCCCCACGAGGTCTGGTCGGGCTCCCGAGCCACACACGATGCCTGTCCCAGTGCCCGGTACCAGCCTCACCTGTCTGAGCACCTCCTGGAGGGCACAGTCGCAGTGCCATGGGTTGGCAGACAGGTTCACTTGGATCTGCAGCCCCACGAAGGCCTCCACAGGCACCGAGGCCAGCTGGTTGGCAGAGAGGTCGAGGTGCCGCAATGTGCCCGCCAGGCCCTGGAAAGCAGCCCCTGAGAGGTGGGCAAGGACGTTATGGGATAGATCCAGCTCCTCCAGAACAGGCAGGTGTTGGAAGGCACCAGCTGGCACTGACGCCATCTGGTTGGCATCCAGGTAGAGCTTGCGGGTGTCGTTGGGGATGCCGGTGGGCACGGCACTCAGGCCTGCCTGGCTGCAGCGGAACGTCCGCTCACCAGCCTCCTCTGCCACGTAGCAGCCCTGGGGAGGTACCTGGGGGCTGGGCATGGTACCCCCTGTGCCCAACACCAGCAGGAGGGACAGGAGGTGACCAGCTGGTGGGAGCATGGCCACAGCTTGGCATAGTCCTGGAGTGGAGTGGAATCTGGAAAGAAAAAGCCCCAGAAAGGAAGAATGAGTCCAGAGAATTCCATTCCGCACTGCCAGCTCTGTCCTCCTGAGGTCCCCCTGTGGAGGCTCTTTGGGCTGGAGCCCCTCCTTTGGGGGCTCTCTCAGGCCTGCGTGAGAGCTTTGCTTCCTCTTTGGGGTCTAGGGCTCCTCATTTGGACCCTTTGGGTAACAGATCTCCTGGGTCTGAGACTCTTCTAGGGTCTCTTTGATTCTGGGGCTAATCTATGAAGTCTCTTGGTCCAAGGCCCTATTGGTCATTCTGGGTCTGGGGGCTTCTAAGTTTCTGCTTCCATCCATGTATTGATTTCCTTCATTGGATTAGTCTTTTTCCACCAACCTACCTGGGTGGCTGCCAGGTGGGCCAGGTAGGCACCAGAGGGCTGGTTGGCACTAGTGTGAAGGAGACAAAGAGGACAGATCAGCGATAGGACTTCAGGGCATCCAGCTCGGCTAGGTGACTAAGGCCCCACCTCTGTGCCCATGCACCCAGTTTTCCTGGAGCCTCCACCCCTCTGCCTGCCCCAGCTGTGTCTTCTCCACCTGCCCCTTCCTCCCTCACACGTTCCCTCCTCCTCCCAGCCTCTCACCCCTGTTGGTAGGAGAGCTTTCTCCTGGGCTGCCCTCTTCCAGGAAGTAGCCTCCCTGCTGCTCCGCTCTGGAGACCCGCTTCCTCCTCCCGAAGTCCTGCTTGCTGGTAGCTGCTGGAAGTTGGGGGCTGGGGCCCAAGAGTGTTGAGTTTCTTGGCATGTGATTCTGGGCCCCAGGTGTCAGATACCTGAGCCATGGCCTGGCCAGACGATGCCAAGAGAGGGCAGATCCTGGACCCTGATGAACTCTGCCTGGGGAGACCAGGCCCCAATTTCATTCCCTGCCTCGGGCTCCCCTCCCAAGGCTTTGCGTTGCCGTCTTCCATTCTTCCTCTCCCAGCTGGGGTGGAGACTTCCTCCCAGAACCTCTGTCCCTTGCCCAGAGCCTGGCTGAGCAGAAGGATTCTTGTATGGCAGGCCCGCAGGGCAGAACTGGGGTGGGCCCCATTTCATATCCATTGCCTCCAGCACCCCAGCACCCCCCAACTCCATTCTTCCCCCGACTCTCCTCCTCTGCCCTTCTATCATGCCCTTTTTCCACGGTGAGCAAACTGGCCTCGGCCTTTTCCTTGGAAAACTTGTCTCTCTCTAGAGGAGCTCATCTCTGGCTCCTCACAGGGTGCCCAGCTCTCTTGCCTGGAGGGCAGCACTGTGGTTCAGTTTTCGTTTGTTCTCTGTGCTGTTGGTAGATGGCCCCTCTAGGAGTTGGAAGGCGTTCTTCAAGTTGCCAGAAGTCTGATATTTTGCCTACAAGTTTTCCTGCTGATTTTGTGTTCTGGATTAGAGCTGACTTAGGTTCTCTCCGTTTGTTGGGGCCCAGGGTTTCCCAAGTTGGTACTTTTCACTCTCCCTCATGCCCAAGAGCCAAGGAGGGCTAGGATGACATTCCCCAGGGCCTCTTGATCCCACTCACCCCTTGCAGCCCATGCCACTACCGTATACCAGCCTCTCTCTTTTTTTTTTTTTTTTTTAAGATTTTTATTGGGGAATTGGGGGGATGGGAACAGTGCTGGGGAATTGGGGGAAGGGGAACAGACAAGTTGCTGTCGTTTTGTTCATCAGTCTAGTTGTGGAGGATGTTGCTTCACTGGCCCAAGTTGGCTCTTCCCGGGCAAGGCACATCAGTCGCCGGCTTCTGGACAGCCGCTCACTGCGGCTGCTGGCCGCTCACGCTGGCTGCTGGCTACCGTAGCCCATGGCAACCCGCTGCCACAGGGGCTGCAGCCTACGCCGTCGCCGGTGACTCACAGCAGCCCAGCTCTAGGTTGAGCTGTTGTTCAGCATCTTAGCTGTGGAGGGCAGTGTCACTGGCCCTCACATGTGGGATCCGAACCAGGGTCCTCTGGCGTCCCAAGCCAGTTCTTAACCATCGCGCCACTCGGCCGGCCCACCAGCCTCTCTTAATGTTCACTGAGTAGTGGAAACGAAGAGAACAGCAGGGTGTCAGAGACTTGCACAGAGGAGGCTGAGGTCACATGCTGGGGAGACCTCTCTGAGAAGGAAAACCTTCCCAGATTTTATAAGAGGCTACAGATGACCAGGAACAGACACAATTGCAGGGCCCAGCACAAACATGAAAGGAGGACCTTGTTCAAAGACTGTTATGAATGTCAAGATGTCAACAGCAGATCGCAAAACCAAGAGCAGGGCGTGGCGCCCTGTGCAGCTGCACAGGTCACATGCCCACGAAACTGGCCCTGTAGGTGACCTTTGAACGAGCAGTGTCTGAAGCATGATGGGGGCTGGGATGACGGGGGGCCGGGATGAGACGTTAAGATACCAGATGATGTCATCTCTGGGGAGGCACCCACCACTGACTCATTCTCGTGACATCAACAGGGCATTTCACACACTCACACTTGTCCAAGGAATCAGATACAACACATTCTCTAGGCTTGGGCAGGAGAAGCGAAACATTTGTCTGTGGGTTGCTTGTTAGACCAGGCACTGTGCCACTGAATACTTCAGTGTCCATTTTGGGATTGTAGCTGGATGTGGAATAGAATACGTGTAGAACCCTGTCCCTCCCACGCTGCTCTTCTCTCGCACCGGGCCGGGGGTTGAGCTAGGACACAAGTGTTGAGCCTGGCTGTTGATGGAGTTATCTCCTTGTCAGACTAGGCCAGCTGCCAGAGAGGGACTGGGGTGCTCAGCACAGAAGCTGGAGGAGAAGCAGCAGTCTGCACACCTAGGACAGGCCATCTGGAGCACGGATGTGATTAACTGAGGGTGGCTGAGTGCAGTGCTCAGGAGAGAAGGGAGACGTGAGGGGAAGGAGGAACCTAACAGGATAATGCACAGTGCAGGCTGGGGGTTGACGAGGTTGGGGCAGAAATTCTCCTCTGCCGTTCCTTCAGCTCCCATCCTTGGATGTACTGTCTCAGTTGTCCAATGCACACTTCCTGTGACTCTTAGGCTTTGGGGATGCAGAGAGAAGTAAACACATCCCCCAGACGATGAGGAAGATAGACGTATACACAAACACAACCACCTGATAGCTTAGGGGAGGGCTGTAGCTGAGGTGTCTGCAGGAGTCAGAGGAGCCCAGAGGACGAGGCAGTGGACTCTGCCTGGGCAGTTGGGGAAGGCTTCACAGAGAAGGCGACAGGTGAGCTAGGCCTTGAGGGATGAGTAGGAGTCTACCAGATGGAAAAGGATCGGAGGAAAAGTATTATAGACTGAAACAACAGCAAAGAAAGGACAAGTTGTATTCTGAGAATGGAGCTCAGTGTGGCTGCCTGTAGTCTGGGATGTGTGGGTGAGTTATTTCCTTTAGCTAACATTTATTGAGAATGCTCTATGTACAGGAAATGCAACTATGAGTAAGACAGGCAGCTAGCACCCGAGCAGGGAAAGTGGATATGTAACAGATAAATACAGCACCCTCAGGGCAGGATAGAAGTCTTTACAAGGAATCTATGGAAACAAGAAGGATGTATGGGACAAGGGCGTGGCCAGGAATGACTTTTTGGGAGAAATTCCACTTCCCTGTTGTGGGACCTTGGGCAAAATAGTTAAACTCTCCGTACTGCAGTTTGCTCACTTGTAAAATGGGGATAATAAAAATACCTACTTCATAGGGCTGTTTTAAAGATTAAGAGTTTATATATGTAACGCCTTTGCCCAATACCTGGAACACAACAGACGCTTAATAATGTTAGCTGTGACTGTTATTAAAGGAGGAATTGGCATTAGGCAGGAGAAGAGGGTGACTTGTGGCAGGGGCCATCCAAAATTTCTAGAGAGGTGGGGTCTACTAGGGGTAGTAATGCAGTTGAATGGGCACCAGGGGATCTTTTCTGAAAGCTCCTGTTTTTATATTCATTGCTCTTTTGATCTGTAATCTTTACAGTTTTCTAAAGTGCTTTTTTTCCCCCCATGGGAGAAAAATATCAATTCTCCATATCAAAGAAAATGCAGATTGAGGGGTTCTTAAAGAACAGCCCCATCTTGGTTCCCAGAGGAAGACTCTGGTTCCCAGACCTTGGCTCTGGCTCCGGAGGCCCTGGCTTCCCAGCCCTTTTCCTCTGCAGCCTAAAATAGCCAACCATAGGGCTGGGCATAGGGAGGGGAGCGGAGGGCCCACTGGCAATGCTGCCATCCTTATGCCTCCTCCTCGTTTCCCACCAGCTCAGTAGCTCTCACTCAGTGCTCCTCTGCTTAGCATCACCGCCCCCTTCCCAGCGCTGCCACCACAGGCCTGGGGTGCCCTCCACCCAAACAGAAACACAACTGCTAACGAATGAACGGTTTTTTTCTTCCTTGCACTCGTTCTGGGAGTGACCTCAACTCCTCCCCTCAGGAAGGAGCAGGGGGTAGGGGTGGAGAGCAGGAATGAATTGGAGGGGAGTAGGGGGTAGTAAGAGTAGAGGGGTGCCATTCTTTCCCCCAGGGGTTGGGGGAAGAGGCTCATTTCTTTTTTTTTTTATGAAATACACATTTTTTAGAATTAGTTTCAGCTGTACAACACAGTGCAATAGTTATACTTTTTACCCCTCGAAGTGACAACC